AGAAATGAGGGATTCTTACTTTACCAAAAATATCTATGCGAAAGCAAATGCAACAGCCTAAACAGCTGGACTTTGAACTTGATACACCATTCCTACTTTGCATGCAAATAACCATGTGATGACTTACCTCGGAGCTCGAAACATGTGCGAACATGTTTTGCTTGCATGATAAATCCCAAAGAAGATATTTATTGTACAAAAGTACAAATGTGCCACGTGGGCAAAATTGGGAAGGTAGGAGGCTGGTCTTCAACCTGTCTTACCTCTAACTTAGCTAGCCTCATTTGCTGACCCAATCGTCCAAAACATTGTTCCTTTCACCACAACATCTCATTCACACAACACTGCCACACACATACACCACAATACCACATCCACTCAAGGAAATTCTACCCAAACCCCAATTATATACATATTTTGTGGAGGGCTGGGCTCAAAAATAAATAAATACCCAATGTTCATGATATAAAGATATTTACACAACTAAACAAAAATATGTGTTAGTAACAGCCCCCACCACCACCACAAACTAATCATGGCAGATGAAAGCAGTTAACTGGATGAAAAAATACTGCGGGATTAATAAAATAATTTCCATTCATCCGTTCTTCAATTCTTCACTCTAACATTCACACATTTAAACATACTAACAAATAAACGAAAAGACAGACTCGAAAGTGAAAGGCATCCCACAGTTTAACCAGAGAACTGCAAGCTCTGTCCAACTAAATGGGGAGGGAAGGGGGAAAATGAACCAAAAATGGGGGGATAAAAATAAAGGGGCCAATGACCATTCATACCCTAGCTAAGTTAACTCGATCAAATTGAAACAAAACCAAAACAACTTAATCTAACCTAACCCTAAATGACAAATGTTTAAAGTCAGGCGACCAACATCCTTAAGCCTATGTCACCTCCAGATGAAACTCTAAATTAGCCCCTCTCAAGCGAACCAAGCGCGAAGCACGCAACCACCTTTCACCAAATTTTGATGAAGAGAGCCGCCTCCTTTCCGCCCTAATCTTGATTTTAAGCTGGTGCTTAAAAAACAAAACCAGTTGAGAAGAGGAAAACTTCTCACCTCCATAAAATTCCTTCTATCGCGTCGTCCAAATCACGACTCGCATAATGCCGAGTAAACACAAGAACACATAGTGTTCATTCCTCTTTAACTGCGGCACAACATTGCTACATACGGGTCTGGCTTCTCGAACAAAGGATTTTTCGCCAAGGACGCGGACCATGTAGCCTTCAATCAGCTTGCATAATGGCCATACGCCGCTACAGTTGAAGAAGATGTGCCCCAAGGACTCAACTGCCCCATCACAGTGCACGCAGTTTGGCGTAACAGCCAAGCCCGCTTTACAGAGCTTTTTGCCGACCCAGAGGGCCTTCTGCAACACCAGCCAAGTGAGTGATGCCTCGTCATTATTGAGACACCGCCACCTGGACGCCCAAGGCCACAGAGAGCTAAACTCCTCATTCGTCCAACCGAGCTCATCCCTTAGAGTATCTCGAGCGGCCCCCCACACTAATACCCGATATAATGCCCTAGGAGACAACAGTCGGAGAGGCCTTCCTTAACCCATGTAACGTCTTTCAAAGCGCGTCAACACTCGCGATAGGAGCATTCGGCCCGAGGAGTCCGGCGGGACTCCTCCTCGCCTTCATGCACACTTCTCAAAGACGGAAATGCTTTCTTAGTGTCTTCCTTCCAGAAGAGGCCGTCACCCTCATCTTGCTGACACATTTGATCCAGGAACTTGAGCCGCAATGTCTTTTGACGAATCTCAATGTCGGACATCCCTAGACCGCCCTCAGACAGGTGGAGGCAACAGACCAGCCGACGCACCGCAGGAGCCCTGACACCCCACAAGAAGTGAAACAGGACTTGCACTAATAAAATTAGTTTGGCGGACGGCAGAGGAAGTACCGAGAGCCGGTAAACAAGGAGGGGGTAGATGTACGAGGTACAAACTTCCGCCCTCCCCTTTAAGGAAAGCCTCCTCCGAGCCCACAGCCGAGCTACAGCCTCGGCTTTTTCTCGGACCTCCAACCAATTCTTCTCCAACTGAAGGTTGGGGCCAAACCATACGCTGAGTATCTTGAGAGGCCCGTCCGTCCAAGTGAAGGGTCCAGGAAGAGAAACACCTCGAAATGCCTTTACATCCGGGTTGTTAGTACCCGATCTAGTGCTCGTGCTATCTATATCGGGATCGAGGACGGTATTCCAGTCACCCGCTAAAACTACGCGTCGAGAAGTCGTCAGAAACAGCTTGATCCACCAAAAAAAGCCCGTCCGCTCCCTGTTGTCATTGAGCGCATAAACCCCAATGAGACGAAATGCCTGATCTTTTATAGTAACTTCCACGACACAAAGCCTGCCCTCCCGATCCGCGTACACACAGCGTCCAAAGAACAGTTCACCAGCCAAGAAACCCCCCTAGAGCGGCCATCATAACATGCTGAAAAGAGCTCAAACGTCTTCGTCAGTATCTCATCATGGTCCCCAGAATGAAAACGAGTCTCTTGTAAAGCACATATACCCACCCCAAGGCGCTGAAGGTCGCGATTGAGTCTCGCCCATCGAGGCTCCGACCTCAGCCCCTGGACATTCAAACTAGCTAAAAAGAGAGACATTGTTAGTTCGAATAGGGTTGGCCACCTGCCCTAAACATTGTCAGGGTAAGGATACTGACGGCCTCGCCCATTGATCCATGGCCCAATTCTTTATTCATTTGACCCTCAATCACAAGACCCCCGATATCCCACGGAAATGTTAACTTAAGTGCTCTATAGAGGAACGGGTGAACAAAAAGTGGGACCCTCCCCGAGCAGAAATGTCGTAATCTTTTAGCCTCTTCAGACTCCCAGTCTGCTATTGGTGGTGAAAGTTTGATTCCTTTGACGGCTTCCTCCACCATTTCCCATGTATGCCGGGAACCAGTCCTGATGACAGTGTGGACGCGTTGAGCCTCCGGAAAGTTTCATGGGTCCTCGATGTCCTTCTCTCCTAGTTTCTGCATTGCCAATAAAGCTTTGAGCACGTGTATTCGGTTGCCATAGTTCGAATCTCTTGGACTGCTCGTGTAGCTTTTGGGCATAACTAGCAGAGTATCACCCTTGGGAATGAGACTGTTAGTGTCCTTGCTCTTGGGGGCTTCCGGGGACTGAGATCCCGCAGCTTGGGGCTTCCCTCTCCCTCTAGCCACGACTTGCAATTCCTGCTTGTCTTCCGCCTTCTTTGTGGCAGCAAATGTGGCCTCTGGAAGAGAACCAACCGGGGATTTTCCACCACTGGTGCCAGTCGCAGATAGGCCCACTAGAGGCACCACGGAACAAGAAGTATCAGTTTGAGGGGTATCGGTCTTAGACGGGACTCTTCTCTGGGCAGGAAGGGGCCAGATGACCAATCTGGCCACGCTTCCAACAAGCTGGTTTCCTACCAGTCACAACGACAGGGTAGTGCCTCCCGCCTATCTCCAAGCTGTTGGGAATGGAGGTGAAGGCATCATGGTCTATCATTAACTCGAACCCCCACTCACCTATCTTATATTCTGGAGTGACATTTACAATCTGGCCATACTGCATGAGATATCCCCCTAAATGCTCTCCAGCAATATAATCAGGGATCTCATATATCGTCACATTGGTCCGACGCCGTCCTTGGTATTCTGTGCGAATGATATAGTCCCTCGTGATTAAACCACGAGACGTTGCATCCACACAGTCCTTTGGTGTGGGCAACAATATGTCCCACATGAAGAAACCTTTCTGTTTAATGATCTGTTGAGGTTTAACCCCCAAGGAATTCAGTGCATTCAACACTGTGCCTTTCGTGCATCGACAAATTTTGTGTGTTTGCTTGTCGAGCACGAAGACTGACGCTGTTCGTTTTGCAATGCGCTCTTTCGCATTGAGGTCTACCAAAAGCCCGTCCTCAGTAACCAGATGAGCGAACGTTTTGGCTCTCTCAATGAAATCCATTACATTGACTATGCATTTCGGGGGGAACTCCAGACAGAGGGTGATTCTCCCACCGCTACACCGCTGACTTCGGCCGCCATGCTAGTGCTTGCTTCTTCGACCTTTTCATTATTAATCTTACTCTTATCTCTAACAGGGGTGGATATGCTAGATTTGCCTTTATAGGGCCCACCTTTTTTATCTCTTTTTGGTTGGGTGGAACAGCCTCATTCGATTTATCAGGTGGATCTGCCTTAGTGGCAGTTTCAAATAAGTTTTGGATGGTCCAACTCTGGTCAGCCATCATGTGAAATGTTCTTTTTCAAACAGCCAGTAATAAATTCTTTTTTTAAAAACAGGCCACAAAGTTCAAAGAAGGGAGCAAAAATAAAAAGAACGAAAACAAAAATGCAAACAAAATATAAACAGTCCGAGAAAAAAAACAAAAAAAAACAAAGTCTGACGAAACAAAAGAAGTAAAAATTAAAACAGTTCACCGCTGAAAAGAAAGTTAACTGAAAAAGCTGTAAATAAAAAGAAAGTTTGTCAAAAAAAGAAAATAACTTAACAAAAAGTATGTTCCAACAAAGTCCTCGTGTGGTCTATTTCATGTCAAGCAAAGTCCAGACAAAAAATGGTAAATCCCAAAGAAAATATGGCTACTGTCGAAGACGCGATTTATACACGCTGGTCTCGTCCAAAACGAGATTGTACCAGTACACATGCAAATTTCAGCAGCGTCGGACTAGCATAAAAGAGGCAAGGCGCCAGCGGAACGGCAGACGGCGAGTCATTTGGCGGACTTCGTGAAACAGTCAGATGTACAAATAGACTAGCAGACCAAGAGGCGGTTGAAGTAGGCGCGTTTGATTTGGGTGTCTGTTTCACGACTGCCCGGTGTAACGGCCGAGAAAAGGAGTCTCGCAATTCATTTCTTTGAGGCGATGGCGAAGAATAACAGTTGGTTTGCCAGCGAACCCTCTCATTACTTTTTTGTTTTTCTCTCTTTTTGCTGCAAGCTATTTCGACGGATTATGGCGAAGGTTCGCATAAGCAGTGACATTATAAAACCGTTTTCCGGCCAGGGCGATGTGGTGGCATGGCTGAAAAAGGTCAGGCTCATGGCGAGACTTCAGCAGGTGGACGATGTGGCTAGTCTGCTACCATTATACCTGGAGGGGGACGCACTAGCCCTCTACATGGAAATGGAGGAGGAAGATCAAGGGAACATCGATCTAATCGAAGCCAGACTGAAGCAGGCATTCACGGACGACGCGTTTTCAGCCTATAGAAAACTGACCATGGTCAGGTGGACCGGCGAGCGCGTAGACGTTTACGCAAATAAAGTCAGACAGTTTGTTCGATTGACCGGATTCGAGGGAGCCGAGATGGAAAGGCTCACCAAACTAGCCTTCATCATGGGTTTTCCTGATGTAATCTCCCTCGAACTCCGACAGGCACCGAACGTTGAAGCACTGACTGTAGGGAAGTTTTTAGCAAGAGCAAGAGTGCTGACAACTACTGGAAATGAAAGTCAGAACGTTGTTGTGGCTGTGCGCCCACCCCGTAGTGTCGGTGCGTCTCCCACCAAGAGCGGCCCACGCACCAGTGTGACATGCTACAGGTGTAGCATTAAAGGCCACATGGCAAAAGACTGCCGGAAGTGTGGAACATGCTGCTATCAATGCGGGGAGTTTGGACACTGGGCTCGAGACTGTTCGGGAAACGCTACAGGGGACAAGGCATCAGCGCCAGCCTTCTCCCTAACCAAGATGTAAATGCGGCGCTCCCGGTGGCAAATGTACTTGTTGACGGAACTTCTTGCTCAGCACTGATCGATACCGGCTGTTCACGGACAATTGTGGATGGAGATCGTTGCCGGTCTTGGAAGAAAGTGAAGGTGGATGTCATGACTATTGGAGGCATGTCCCATCCATGTTGCGGCGTGGGAGTGGTAACTGTATCCATGGAGGAAGGTGGTTCTGCTAAGATCGACGTGCTGGTGGGGTGCGGCAAACCACTGGGATTCGAGTTGATGCCATAACAGCATTGGGAGACGCTACTGTTGGGCCTACGGGACAAACACAGATTGGCAATGGGCGAGTAGCCAAATGCGCAGCCATTACTGTGAATGAACCCAACTTCGCTGCCACCTTTGTGATCATGAGATCAGGGAGGGGTGTGATGACTTACCACGGAGCTCAAAACATGTGTGAACGTGTCTTGCTTGCATGATAAATCACAAAGAAAATATGGCTACTGTCAAAGACGCGATTTATATGCGCCGGTCTCATCCAAAACGAGATTGTACCAGTACACATGCAAATTTCAGCAGTGTCGGACTAGCATAAAAGAGGCGAGGCGCCAGCGGAACGGTTTGATTTGGGTGTCCGTTTCACGACTGCCGGTGTAACGGCCGAGAAAAGGAGTCTCGCAATTCATTTCTTTGAGGCAACTGATGGCGAAGAATAACTGCTGGTTTGCTGGCGAACCCTCTCGTTACTTTTTTGTTTTTCTCTCTTTTTGCTACAAACCACAACACACATCATCAAGAAAATTTGCATTTTATATTCCTAAGTTCTTGTCATCATGTCAAGCACAAGGTCTTTGGTCAGGAGATCTCTTTGTATCTCTTCTCCAATCTCATCTCTCCACTCAACTAAACTGCCCTCTTTCTGGGTCTAAAATCTCCAGCTTATATGGAGTCCTTTATCTGGTAGGGGTGGTGCTTACTAGGGTTTGGGTTTGGTTGTCTTCTACTCTAAGTATCAACCTTTTCCAAATTTCCATATAGAAAAATACATTTACTCAAGTGGTTTTTCAAATTTGGGGTTGTCCATCCTCCTTTTGAGAGTGGTCAGAGGAATTAAGCCAGATCTTAACTCCTACTCTCTCTTACATCTTGCCTTCATACCCTCCCTTCTATATAGGCAGTACTAATCTCTCTCACCCTTCTCTTTCTCTTCCTTCTCCCACTTTCTCCCTTCTACTTTTTCAGCAGCTAACCTCAGCCTGCTTCCAGATTGCGTAGTGAAAACAAAAGGGATTTTCAGTTATTAATCTTTTCTTTATCAGCTTGTCCCATGCTGTGATTTCTTTTGATTGGCCAAACTACTTAAGAATTGGAGAAAGAAAATTCCATTTCCACTCTCCTTAAAGTTTATCTTTATGATCGACTAGACCACACAGTCTTTTTGTCCATGGTCACTTCAGAATAGTAATAAATTTTTCCTTACTACTTGTATTCAAGAAAATCTGAATTAATGTTTAGATATAAAAATTTTCTTTGAAGAATGTCACCAAAATTATCTTTTCTTCTGAGTGGTTGATTTGAAACATGCATTTTTATTTTATCTGAATCTTCTTGGATACCTTAATGGTATCTTTCTTATCAGTGGGATATGGGGAAAGACGGCAGTCTTGGGTTTGTTCAATCTTACTAAATTTTGTCTAGTTAAACTGGGTTTGATTTTCCTTGGAATCATCTCAAAACATGATTTTTCAATGCATTTTGTTTTTAATTTTCTTAACTTTTCAATTCATCTTCCTGCAATTTCAACAATTATCATCCAGTTAGTAGACTCTCTCTCCTATTCCTTCTTTCTTTCTTTCTCTTTTTGTTTGATCAACCTCACAAGATCCCAGTGTCACAAAGCACAAAACTTCTTTTTATATATGTTATGAAGTGCTTTAGTCAAATGAATTTTACAAATATTTATTGATAGAAAACCAAAAATTATCAGATAACTCTCCTCTGTTGAGGAAAAAATTACATACTTTTTGACATTTTCAGATAGCCTTTAAGAATATTTTATTGACAAATTGATTAGGCCCTTTTTCTTTAAAGATTTCACATTTCTACAGTCACTTTTTTAGAATTTTTAAATGATAAAATTTTTTGGTTAAAAAAGTAATTGAAATGATTCTTCTATGTGTTGTGTCTCTTCAGAATGTGGGTAATCATACATGGCCGTTTTCTTATCCATTATGCTTGTCAAGCCAAATATGGGTACATGTCTTTGTTGGCAGTTCCAAGTCCGTCTCATGCTTTCTGAAATGAACCTGTATTTTTGACAGTGATCACCTAGTTGTTCATTGTGTCTCCAAACTTCCTCTGGTGAACATGATTTGTATGGCCATCAATAAATAAAAATATTCACACTTCATTTCTATATTCAATATATGAAAATAAATTGACATACAAAATGTAAATATAGCTTGTGCTCTAAGCTGGACTCATTTTCGATACATTCATATTGATATTGTCAATTTTTTTATCTTCATCTAATAATTTTATAGATGTTTTTACAGTAAATGATTGATCTAATTGGTGTTCCTTTCAAAGACGTTTTTGCACTAACTCTAACTAAAACTTATATATAATGCTAATTTTGGTGCACTGTATCAACAGTTATTACCATTATACAGGTTCACAATTCCAACGTGTATCTTTTTTTGTGAACTTGAGGTTTGCCAACCATGGTTAAAGAGCCCTGCCTGCCCTGCTATTTAACCCATTTATATTCTTATAAATAGCTGTGATTAGTTGGTTTTCTCATGAAAACATACAGCATGTATTTTTAATCAATTAACTCACTTTCTCTTATGTTTTGAAAATATTCTTAATGAAGACATATATAAGATTAAGTGAATATGTTTATATCATTTTAATGTATTTGCCACATAGAAACTAAACAATTTTCCTATATACATTTTGTGAATAAATTCTTTACATATTTTAATGATTTTATCCTCAACAGAGAAGTTTTAAATCTTGAAATGTACAAACAACTTATGTTGTATATCAAATAAATTTGTTGCTAATGCTACTAGAGTTTTCAGTTTAAAATTATTTACTTAAAGTATTTCTCCATCTCAAAACATACATTTCCTTTCTGGATTTATTTTTTATCTTCCTGTCATGTCATTTTTAATATGTTATTGATACTTTTTTCTGTTGAATCTCTAAATAATATTATAATCACAGACCAGGTTGTTACCAGATATTTGCAGTGTCTAAGCAGTTAACATTCTTTTAAAGACTTGGCTATAAGTTTGATGGGTTACCTACTTGTGATACAGAATATGTCCATATTAAATTACTAATAATGTTCATGTTTACTGCATTGATAATGTTTATGAAGAGCATAAGCCAAAAAAGATAAAATTTTTATCATGTATATGTTATTGTTTTTTTTTTTCTTTTTTTGTATGAGATTGCTATGATGACAGAATTGATAATGAGTTGTACTATCCCCATTTTAACAGATGAACTCTGCCTAAAATGAAAATAGAAGCACAAAATTAGGTACCTCCGTGGACTTCTTGAAAAAAGCTAAAAAAAAACATGTTTTAAATAATTTAAATGTTTTCTTTGAAGTTAAAATATGGTTTTAATTGAAAGATAATAGCCTGAAGTTAATCCATAAAAAAGAAATTATTTTACATTCTTAAATAAATATTTTAAACATTTTTAAACCAAAAAGGTAAAAACAAACTCACTTCCAACCAATTGGATTAGCAAATTTGATAAAAAGAGAAATTAAAATGCTTTAAAAATCTTTTAAAAATTCGGTATCTGTTCAAAGAAAATTGTTATTTTTATGAATTAAATTTTGTAAAAATATTACTTTTTGCCAAAAAATATAACTAAATGTACACTTTTCCCACTTATCAACATGTTCAACAGTAATCTTACAAAACCACTACTACTTAAAATTAATTGTGCCATAAATAAAAATAAAATATGGAAGCTCATAAATTTCAGGAAATATTTTTCAGGCAGTGAACTCCTTAAGTGATTTGTCTTTATTGCATTTCTATCATTATTATGATGACATCAAAAACTTTATTAAACAGAGAAAAATACTATCCACATGAATAGATTAGTCAAAACATTCAATAATTTTATTGAATAGTAAGACTCACTAACTATTGAACATTTGACTGTAGCATTGTTAGAAAATGATTTTAGAGGTTGGAACGATTTATAATGAATTTTTGTTGCAAACAGAGTAGATCTACAAACTTGTGAAGTACCCAACAGAAATACATGACTTTCTTACCAGCCACCATAAATTAATTGTGACTTTTTTTTCAGCCATGCAAAATTCACTAATATAGATTAAAGTAAATAGTAGGAGTATGAATGGCTGAAAAAAAATCCATGAAACTTAAAATTAAAAATTATTTAATATAAACCATTTATTAATGCTGAAAACTTAAATAAAATGTGATAATTTCCCGTTTTTAAGAGATTTAAAGAAACAGTATTAATTTTTTTCATGTGTCAAAAAGACATGATTTTGAAGATAAATCCACAAAATCAAATGCAAGTCATTTTCTTTTCTTTTTTTTATGGGGTGTGCCTCTTCAGGATGGCAATCATGGCCCTCCACAACCTCTTGTCCCTTGTAGCACTTAATAACTTTTGTCTTTTTGCTATCTTCATTCAATCAATCTCATCAGGTAGGTTGTGCATTGCTTTCCTCTGTCTCTGTAGCCATAAATCTGTCCCAGAAATATTACATTTTCCAATCTCTCCTTTCTCATTATGTGTCTTAGAAACCTCAACAGTCTCTTCCTGATGTTAAGCATAAGTGTCCTTTTTGTTGCCATTGTCTCTAGAACTTCATCATTGCTCACATGTTCAGTACATGGAATTCTCAGCATCCTTTTGTAGAATCTCATTTTATATTGTTTCAAGCCTCTTCTTCACCTGTGGGGAAATTGTCCAACATTCAATAAAATGGGAATGATTGTAAAAGTTTTCCACCTC